AAGGTTAGTGATATGCTGCAAAACTAAAATTCCATCGTTTTGATTTATATGCGTATTGTTTGTTTCTTTTGAATATTTTTTTGTTTGCATGTTTGTATGATTTAGTATTACTGACTGCAACAGAGAAAAGATGAAAGCAAAATTGTAATAAGAATATCAAGAGTAAAGTAAGTTTTAGGGAAACCTACCAATATTATCAAGCAATTCAAGCAACACATTGTTGGATAGATAAAGATCAGTCAGTGACTGTAAACATTCTATTTCTGGTGGAAGACGCTCCAGTCTATTTTTGGAAACATCAAGAAACAAAAGTTGACGAAGCAATCCTATTTCCTGAAAAAAAGTGAATAAAATAGTAAATGTAATAATTTCCACAAAGACTTATGAAAAGCAAATAATATTTTTAAGTACAGGCAATGAGAATTTTGGGGATTAAATTTTCTGTTATAATTTTCCTCGCTTTACTTGGGTCTCAAGTACTTAGCCTTGTGTGTTTGTCGACCAAGAGGGCAGGCTTTGCTAAAAAAGCATTGTGCTGGCCATGGCACATAGATTGAGCAGAGGGAGCTCTATAGATCACAATGAAAAACCAAACAGTATCCTGTTCCTAACAACCTTGCTCAATAAGAGAGAATTTTACCCTATGATCAGCCCTATTTCCAAGTTCACTACTTACTGGTGGAAGTTCTCTGACTCCATTATTGTCCATCCAAAGTTCTTTCAGGTTTACCAAACAACCAACAACAGCTGGCTGTTAAAAAAAAATTCATCGTGAATCAGTCCAAAGCTAAAACAGAAAAAACTAAAATAAACACTCTTCAAGAATCTTCAAGTCAATAACTTTCAAAACTATTTCACATACCAATTCAATAAATTCATTGCTTCCAATATCAAGTCTTTCTAGTTGTGTAAAATATGACATTGACCTAAAATGAGGAAAAAGAAATTTAACTTGTTTGATTTGCATTGTAAAGAGAAATTACATCTTGGACACTCGGGGAAGAGGAGGACTCAACAGCACTTACTCAGGTAATGATCGCAAGTGGTTTTCTCTCAGTTCTAGAATCTTCAGCTTTGATAATCTACAGATAAAAATAAGTAAGTGAAAAAAATTAATAAACAACTTGCCTGGAAGGGATATAAAATCAAGACTAGAGAAAATTGCAACATTTTTCAAAAATCTGATATTAGATAAATAAATTATCTTCCCTTTTTTAGTTATATTAATTCTTAAAACTTGTTTGCTCTTTATTTATTGATATTGTAGGAAGACATTATGCCTTGATCACTAGGGGGAGTCAACCCTTCAACTCCCATAAGTGACCAAGAAAGAATTTCTCTGTACAATATCAATACAGTATCAACCAGATAAGTGATGAGAATAAAGAACAATATCAATTTGGGGCAACTGAATTAGTAGATCCAATACTAAATTCTCTGAACTAACATTATAAAAATTGTATGGTTGACAGTAAGGAGAATTACAAATTTGATCTGAGAGTTAAAGGGTTAAACTGTTGAGACCAGAATAATTAATGACCTTGAACCTTATGAAAATTTATTCACAATTGGTGAGATGATTCCATATTTTACCTGGCTTGAAACACAAATTGTTAAAATATTTATGGATCCTCACATCCAAAGAGATGAAAAACCATACTTTTGACACCATACATTGACTTAACAACAGAGTCCCCCTCTCCTTTAGCAAAGTTTCCAGTCACACTTGAAACTTCACAGTAGTGCCGATTTTTTTGATAATATAACTGACTGTGTATTAAATAACAAATTACCATTTTACCTTCCAAAATTTGATGGTAAACGATCCAAGAAAGCATCATTCAAATACACATGTGTCAAATTCAACAACTGAGTAAATCCATCAGGAATTCTGCAAGGAAAAAACCAAAATAAAGAGAAACTTAAAATATAACAACAAATCAATGTAGTTTCCCTAAGCTAAGAAGTGAACAGAATTTAAATCAACAAGTTTCTCTCAGGGAACAAACTGAGAAAGTGAGATAAATTTATCAAATATTTATCAAATAAAATTCCCACAGCAAAATGTAAAGAGCCAAAAAGACCCACGGCAGTGGAAAGGTGGCACAAAGCTGACCTATCACAGCATGTATCATATCCAAAAGAGAAGAAAACGTTAAGATGGGAGAAATAAATTTCATTGTCACATTTTAAGATCTGCTGGGAACTACCAGTATCTGGCAGAAAAACACTGGCAGCTAGTCAAAATTTTAGCTCACTAATTATCCATGATAAAACAACAAATTTTAAGTGGGGTAGCTTGATTTCTCAGCCACAACAAAAAAAAACTTGCAATTATCAATTTAAAACTTGACAAATGCTGTTTTCAAGGATTTAAACATGCAAGTAACAGATTTCAAAGCCAGAGGTAGAAGTGTTTGAATATTGGATAAGTGATAGAAACCCCTAATAAAAAAATTGGCTGCCACCTGTAGCAGAGAATATATCAGGAAAAAGGAATCATTAAAGGCTACGTGACTAATATTTCACTGATATTTTTTTGAAAAAAAAAAAATGTTGAAAATTCAAGCAGATTGCTAATCAATCCTTTGAGATCTACTGAAATTTGAATAATATTTTTCATAACAAGTGCCGTCCAAGGGGTCATTCGCTTTGCATCTTACTAAATTAAATGCAATGTTAAAACATACTGGAGTAATGTAATTGTTTCCTGCTGATATTTTCATTCTCTTAAACCAATAAATGGGCACATTTGTTTTCATTTTAAAAAAATTCAAGTTTCAAAGACCTTCATTATGTTATTTTAAAATCAAACACCACAAATTGAAACATTTTATTACAGTAATTTAATATCAAGGCTAAATATAAGTATTAAGTATTAACTTAATTGGATCATTTCCAAAATGTATTTTTTTGGGCACTAAATACTTCTGTTGAATATCAATTGCTCTTAACACCTCTAAAACATAATCTAACACATCTAATATACTACAATAAACAAAGAACGGCTCTCTATAACATTTAGAAGGGATGTTTTTAAATTCCTCATGCAAATAGATGAACAGATAAAGGAATAGACATTAAAGAGAATTTATGTACAAATTTACTCACTTTCCAATCGGATTTACGCTTGCGTCAAATTGCTCCAAACATTTGCAGTTTTTAAGACTCTCTGGTAAATCAATAATACCTTGAAGAAAAAAATTGATGTCGAGATCTCGTGTAAGTGATAAACCATAAAAATCGGTCTCTTTTAAGTTGGCGATCGAACACATCTTAAATTTCAGAAACGTAGTTTTCCTGCACTCACCGTTCTTGCTTATGTCAACTTCTCTAAGGTTCGCTAAGTTAGAAACAGCTGATGGTAACACGGTCAACTCATTGTCACTTAAACCAAGAATTAGCAAACTCTGCAACCCAAACAAAGCCTGTGGCAAACAGCGAACAAAGACAAAATTCAGTATGTTTTTATAACAACACCACCGAAAATGACAATTACCAAAGCGACCCAGCAAAAAGTATTCGAAGAATAAATAAACTCCTCAAATACCCTCGGCAATTCTCGTATCTGATTGGCATCCAGGTAAAGTTCTTCCAGGTTTGGCTCGGCCTTAAAAATGTCTGTTGGCACTGAAGTCAGATTGCAGTGCCGCAAGTCGAAAACAGCCATTTCACCATTTCCTTCGCACTCCACAGAGAAACAACTCTTCAGGCCACCCCATCGCCTCATATTAAGCCCGTTGCAACATGGCCGAACTGTCTAAAATTCCACTTTTGGCAGTACGGTTAAGTACGGAGATTTCCGTTTGAAATACTTAGCAAGATTTCAGGTCATTTTAACGGGTTGTTAACGACCCTGTGAAGAGAATCTCAGCTATCGTTGCAAAAGAGAATGCTAATTATCCAAACAAAACAAAACAAACGGTGCAAAGAGAGGTATTCTTGTAAGTACTTCGTGACGTAAAATTCTTGATTACTAATCACTTAAGTAAACTTCTTGAAAGAAAGATGACTCTTGCAAATCGTCCGATAATTCAAGTTGAAGGTAGCAAATTTGAAAAGAATCTAGCACGCCGGATGTAAATTTTTAAGTTACAGATGTGATGCACAGCTCCTTTTCAGTGAAGAGGGGTCGAAACTGTAGGGCATTTTTCGACTTTTGATTGGTCAAACTACAAAGGAATATTTAGCGCGAACCAATCAGAGATGGGCTTATTCATAGCCAAAAATAACGCTTAGCCCTAGGCCAAGAGAGATAAATACTGCTGAGTGGTTTACAAATACTGCTAATGGGAAAACAGTGCTGTACAATTTCTGTAAAGTGATAGCAATCCATTAAAAATACGGTGCGTTATAAGGTCATTATGGGAGTGATTTACACTTCGAATGCGCTTAATCAGGCGTTCTGCTTTCATTTTGCGGTCCGATACAAGCTAACTTGTTCCTGTGCGTAATAACTATGTCAACCGCAAATGCATCTGCTCCGATGCAAATGAAAATTACTTTCTCTAGATTTTTCCCTGCTAGAGCCTCAAAGAAATATCGCCTAATTCTAATCAGCTCCCTTTGTAAGAAATATCGCGAAATATCTATTGCAATAGGGATTTATCTTCTTTTATACATAATTGTATGTTTATAATTTCCATATGTTAAGAATAAAGCAGAACAGTTTTTAAAATGTTTATGGCCTCGTCTCTTCGTAGTCAAGATGTGTTTCTTTTACCTCATGGCATAATTGTAATATATTTGAAATCTGAGTCCTCGACTTCGGAGCACAAAGTTTAAATTACATTTCATATTAGTAAAACTACACTACAAGGACTGCCTTTTTCGGTAATTTCTCTAAACGTTAAAACTAGGTGAAATAGCGTGACTAAAATCGTTGTGAAAGTCACACAATCGTCGAATAGCGTGACGCTAAAAATTCGCCATTTCAATTCTTGACGTCACTTAATGATTCTTAATTGATCAGATCACTTACTCAAACGTGCTCATACAACATGGATCAGCCCTATTTACCAAGCATTACATCTTTCTTCCAAGAATACAAAACCGCTCTGTATGGATTGGCAGCTACTGGCGCACTTGTCATCGGAATTGGCCTGTATAAGTCTAGCTACGCAGCCTCAGGGTGTGGTCAGACGTTCAAGCAAAGCCAAATCGCGATAGCTGATTACCCAGACATGCGTATGTACAATAACTTGCTGGCAAAACACTTAACGCCTCGCCTTTACGCCAAATTGCGAGATAGAAAAACAGCAAGTGGATTTACATTGGACAACGCCATTCAAACCGGTGTAGACAATCCCGGCCATCCATTTATCCTCACGGTGGGAGCTGTGGCCGGCGACGAGGAGTCGTACAAAACGTTTGCGGAGTTGTTTGACCCGATTATCGAAGAGCGTCATAATGGCTTCAAGAAAACGGATTTCCATCGAACAGACTTGGATTCGTCTAAAATCCGTGGAGGAAAATTAGACGAGCGCTATGTACTGTCGTCTCGAGTGCGCACTGGTAGGTCCATCAAGCCTTTTAGTTTACCGCCACACTGTTCGAGAGCGGAGAGACGAAAAGTTGAAAAAATTATTACCAGGGCATTGGCTGGATTACAAGGTATGTCTTACGCTTTGACATCTCCGGAAATATGACTATTAGAGTTTGTATATTGAAGTGATTGACGTGAAAATCTTCACGCACCATTCTTCCTGCTTCACACACTTCAATCGAAGCGCATCAGATAAAACCATCTAGAGCGCGTTGGAGCAACCAAATGATCGCTTCCGTTCATGCTGGCAAAATATGCAGTGCCCCTTTAACAAACAAAATTTCCTTCAGGAATTTAATGTTATTGGTAAAATTCCAGGTGAATTATCTGGTCGTTACTACCCCTTGAGCGAGATGACACCAGATGAACAACAGCAATTGATTGACGATCACTTCCTGTTTGACAAACCAGTCTCCCCACTCCTCACGTGCGCCGGCATGGCACGTGACTGGCCTGACGCACGTGGAATCTGGCACAACCACGACAAGAACTTCCTTATTTGGGTCAACGAGGAGGACCACATGCGCATCATTTCTATGGAGAGAGAGGGAGACATGCGCGCAGTGTTTGATCGCTTTTGTCGAGGGCTTCATGAAGTGGAAAGACTTATTCAACGTCAAAAGCACGAATTTATGTGGAATGAACACTTGGGATACATCCTCACCTGCCCTTCCAATCTTGGAACAGGACTCAGGGCTGGAGTGCATATTAAACTACCACTTCTTTCAAAGGTGCCACCTTCTATCAAATAGTAGTAATAGCATAACTATAAAAGATAGCGTTACTGGCATAAACATTCTTAAAAAAATTGTTACTACTCACTAAGCTAAAAAGGATTTTCAGACTTGAATCGTCACTATCGCGTACCCATCAGAACTTCCTTTTCTTTCTTTCTTTCTCTCTCTTTCCCTTCTTACTTAAAGTCTAACCTCCACTTCCCTTTGAACCGTTGCCTTCCTTTAACCCGTTGATCCCTAACAGTGTCTAGCATCTAATTTCTCCCAACAATATCCGCCTTGAATCAAACATTAAGGTCATGAGAATAAAGGAAATGATCACCAACTAAAGGGGCTGTTGACTGTTCAACAAATTCTCCTTGTCAGCACCTTAGGAAATGTTTTGAGATCAGTATGAAGAATATGCATACCGATGTTAGCGTGTAAAGGGTGAAAAAAAAATTTCAAACCGTTCCAATATCTCTTTGAGTCATGTTTACTTCGGATGGTCAAACGAACTGCTTTTTGCTCAGACGATACGCTATAGTTTCTTCCGCAAGTTGAATACCTTAATTAACAAATCTCACGACAAGATTGCTTTGATTATTTGCAGAACCCACGATTTAATGAAATTCTGGAATATTTACGACTACAGAAACGAGGAACTGGTAAGTATTAGTCCTAATCGGTTACTCTTTACTTATTCCCTTTGTAACAAAGAAGTCAAAAAGTACCTTTTAAGAGAAGATTTAGGAAAACATCTGACACAAAAATTAACAATAACAAAGTGTCAAGAAAGATGGACGACGGGTGTCCGATGCGGCTTCTTAACCCTTTAACTCCCAAGATCTCATTAGTAATTCTCCTCACTATCTGCCAAACGATTCTATGATATTAGTTTGGAGAATTCGGTACCGGATCAATTAGTGATGCCTCGTCTCTGCAACTGGAACCAGCCAATATGTTAGTTTTGCTTTGCTGCACATCAAAGTTGCTTCAATAGTCTGGCGTTATCTTCTTAACCAATCAGGGACGTAGTTACATCCGTTTCCCCTCCCTTAAAACCGAGTTCTCATTGGTTCTTGTTTGTACATCTCTTTGCTCTACTTGGAGGCTGGGAAGAGAAGACTAGTTTGGTTTTAGTTTTCCGACATTCAATCAAAAAGTTGGAATAATGAGTTCGAAAGCGCACGTAAGCATAGATGGTCGAAAGTGTACCTCTACTTTTAATTCAACGCATATCATATTTCTACCTGATAATTCGTAGGAACATTCAGTGCTTTCTTGCTTTTAAAACCATTACAATCTATCCACTCAACAGGAGGGGTGGACACGGCAGCCAAAGGAAGCGTTTTCGACATCTCGAACCTGGACAGGCTTGGTTTCTCTGAAGTGGAACTTGTCCAGAAAGTGATTGACGGTGTTGGTCTCCTAATAGTGATGGAGAAGAGACTGGAAGCTGGCCTACCAATAAATGACCTTATACCATCGTCAACGAAATCGGAGTGAATTCCATGATGAAGACAGGACAACTTCTATGACGAGCCAAACGGAAAATGACAAATGTAAAATAAACTCGCAGTTGTTCGTAGCAAGCTCACTTGCTTTACGAGGGCGAAACTGCTTCTGAATCAGTGCAATTACCGATGTAAGGAGTAGCATATTTTCAAGCTTTCCTTTCAACCTACTGTCATTTAATAATGAATTGAATGTAGTCTTGGGAGAGAGCGTTGTTCTTTGCATCTAAAATTCACACTGAGCCAAACAGATTGGGAAAAAAGATGGATCAAATACGAATAAAAAGATAAAACACCTCAAAAAACCTCTTGAAGATTTCTTTAAAAAACACATAAGCTGAGCTAAGTATTATCAAGTGTCTATAGTGGAGAATTATATAAAACAAAGGAGCGCACCTTTCAAATAACCCTCTACACCCTAACATCAATATCCATATTCTTCACACCTATTTCTTTACCTTTCCTACATTACTGACAAGGAGAATTTGTTTGACAATCAGGAGCTTCTTAAACTGGTGATCATTTCCTATGTTTTCATGACTTTTACATATGATTCTAGGGTAATACAGTAATGAGAAATTGGAAGTCAGTCACCCTTAGAACCTATGGTAAAGGGTTAAATGAGAAATCGTCTGAAGAAAATATTGCCTTTTGAACTGAGGATAGAAATATATCGTGCTTTCATTGCACTGCATTTCAATTACTGCTTAGAGTCGTGGCATCACTGTGGTAAAAGAAGTTCCGGCAAACTTGAAAAAGTAAATGAATGAGCTCTTTGCTTTGTGACACGGGACAAGTCAACCACGTACGAGACGTTGCTAAAACAACTAAACCTGCTGTCTCTATTTAATCAAAGAATTGTTAGAATGGCCACCGGTGTCTACAAAGCTATCCATGAGTATAAAGTCCCTACAGGAATAGGAGAGCTATTGCATGAACGCGATCAACTAATTATGATCTTAGAGGAAAACACACCCTCGAGCTACCCAAAAATAAATACAACCACCTTTGGTCTTAAATCGTGGCGTTATTCTGCAACTAAGATTTGGAAAACTCTTCCGGATCAGTTTCGTGCCGCTGATAAAATCGGAACATTTAAGAACTTGATGTCTATGTTTGATTTCACAAATTTTACATTTTAATCGTGATTTACTCCTAGTTTTAGTAATATTTTAATTGTATAAATATATTTTTATATAGGTTTTTAAGAGAAATCTTCTCTTTCTATGATTATTTCTAGTTTATTTATTTACTTTTCGTGGCATGTCTGTAAAGTAGCTAATTAGCTGAGAACATTTGACCACATTAAATAAAGGTTATTGTATTGTAAGAAAACGTTTTCTGTATCTTTTTTGTGTTTCGTTTAGTGAGCGCAATTTTCTGGTTATGGTTCCACTGTAAAGAAACTCTAACTTGAAAGAGTAAATATCTTATCGGTCTCTTCTTTTTTACCAATAAATTTTTTCAAAACCTCCGTACATATTTAAGGAGGTTTGGAGCAGGAAAGACGAAGGTAACTTCGAGTGAAAAGAAAATACTAGCTCTAAATTGCGTTTTTTTTTCTAGATCTCTCTTGAAATAATTAAAATATTTTCAAGAAGAACGGAGATATGTAGGGTCAAGTGGTCCTCTTCTTCATATCTCACTTCCATCAGAGACTGGCCATTATTTATCATGGTAGGGGGGAGGTGTTTGGGGGGATTCCATGGTTTTCAGGGAACAGACTGCCAGTTAACTGCCAATGAGGGGATCAGAAGATTATACCAGGCCTTGTGTGGTGATCGGTCAAATTTCATCGCAACTCGATCAACATCTTCGGACCCCTCCCCTGAGCGATAAAATATGACCGGACCCTATTATTGGAAGGTCTGGCTGCGAGACTACCCTTATATCTCAACGATAACCCAAAGAGTGATCACCGCAAGTTTCTTTATCTCTCAGGTTACGGATGTTCATTTTCGGCTCTTGGCTGGTAAAAAAAATATAATTTACAAAAAGCTCTCCTAATTCAGGAATTATGTCTGGAATACTAGTTTCCAGTTCTACTCTTAGATAG